GCGCGAGCAGCGTTGGTTGTCCCCGGAGGACGGCCACGCGGTCGACCAGTCGGGGTACGTCGTGAACCAGACATGATCGGTACCATTAGGAATAGGGTGTTTAGGATACTGGTTGGGAGAGGGACTGAAACTTGATATGATGGCGCAAGGGTGGAGGAGGCGCGAGAGCTCAAGGTGGGGATCGCTCCTCTGGGGGCTCGTTGGTCACCGAGAACGCCTCAAACGAATGGGCTGGGCGCAGTGATGCATGGAGCAGACTCACATGCCGACATGAAAGATCCCAGCAGGCGAAGGGTCGATGAGCTTTCCAAGTCTCTGAGGAGGGGGAGATACGGGTTGGCGTCGGCGTGCGGCTCGGCGCTCACTGGATGCGAAAAAACACAACCAACGCGTGCACAGGCAGTTCAATGTCGCCCCCTTATTACTTAGCCGGCCAGTGCTGTTCAGTGCACTGAGCCCCATCTGTGGCCTGTATTCACAGCCTAGCCTTGGACGTCGGAGATTAGTCAGCGGTCTCCATCCGCCTGGTCCCGTTTGAGCTTGGCGCCGACTGAGCCAGATGCGATTCTGGGGAAGGGACAATCTGAATGTTCAATCAATCATCGCTCGAAGCCATCACATCCACCCACCAAGCTATGTCCGGAGAATGCATATGCCAAGATAGCTGGGGTCTGGGACTCCGGCTTCACTTCTGGCAGCCGATCACATGGCCGATTCTTTTTTGCGTGCTCTGATTGCAAGCTGTCTGAATCAGGCCGTTGTATGAACTGGGTTGTGTTGTTGGGAGCCGGCAGTTGGAGCAGACAGATGCATCCCGACTACCGATTCTAGGGTTGTAAGAACCATCAGCTGAAGCACGGGTAATCGCCGACAGATCCGGGCCATGTCGCTGCATCAGCTCGCACAAAGATGCCTCGACTCCAAGCACGGACCAGATCAAACAAACAAAGAACCAAGACGCAGGCAAATCATTAGTGAGGTAATGATAAGAACGTAGATTGAAGAAAAGAGAGCTTAGTGTCAACGACATTTCGAGAATATATCTAGACCTTGCCCAGAATGGGCGCATCAAGACGAGCGCTAGGCTAATAAGCGAGATCGATCTACACACTTCAGAATAGGGGATCAAGGTTAATTCCTCGGTCCACGTGGGGTTTGGCTGGACATTATTGATGCATTGAGAAATCCAACTAACACGCTATTACCCATGTCCTCCAACTACGCTCCTCTACCATGTCAGTCAGACCTTCTGCAGATAAGCATCTTTGGTTATAAATTGCGGAGTCATGCCTTGCTTAGGGGTCTACTATTTTGCTAATGACTGAGATATACGAAAGCCAAGAAATACTATTATAAAATTGAGGAAGCGAATTGTAGGACTTTAAGTTCAATTGCTTGGAACGTTAGCATGATTTGCGTTTCTTGAGCCCTGCCTTAATTATTTACATGATGAGCTGATTGGACACGTGAGATGATCCATCTTCCATAACCCTTGTTTCCAGACCCTCCGCATGCACGGTGACTTTCAAGATTGTATTTGTGCATCCTGTATTAAGTACTTTACAGTAGATGACTCCCTGGGCGAAAAGAGACAATCGCAACTCACAGAAAATAGGCAGGCAAAAATAAGGAACAGCTTTTGGTGGTACGCAGCATCGACAAAGCGTCGACATTCCATCAATTAGTTTCAACTCGACTCTGCTGTCACGCGCTGGTGTGACACCTGGCAAGTCTATATCTAAAACAATAAATGCCCTAGAAAAGCAAACAAAATCTTGAGAATCAAAGTGAGAAACCCTACCAGCGCCGTTCCATGTCCAAATACAATGAAGTGCAAACAAAATCTAACAAGTCCATGACGAGGATAAACAAAGACTCCAATCGCGAAACTCCTCCTGGTGTGAATTTTATGTCCTGATCATTGCCAAAGGTCTGACGCCACTTAGACGCATGCTTCTGAAAGCCGAGACTTCTGGAAAACAAGGGAAAGGGGGTGAACGAAGACGGAGAATGCGGCCATGCAATCGAAGTATTCATCGACTCCCGAACGCCTGAGACGCTATGCTCCCAACTCTCAACTCGATAATCAATATCTGCAACCAAATCACAGCCGAAAAAAAAAGAAGCCAAAGGAAAAAACCGCCTAAATGAAAAACAACTAAAACACTGCCAAGTCATGCAAAGCAACGAAGCAAAACGCAAAAGAGCAAAGATTTGAAAAGAGTAATAAGGGGTATCATGAGTATCATCGGGTGATTCGTGGTATTTCTTAGAAGCTCACGAGCTCAGTGGCTGGCCCAGCGTGCGTGCCTCATGCAGAGGGGGGGACGAGAAGGTACGATCAGGGATGTGCACTGGAGAGATTGCTGAGGAAGAAGGACCTGAGTTTGGAATAAAGCTGGTTGGGTGTCTTGTTTGCCAGCTCTCCTCACTCAGGACACTCAAGTAGTCGGTCCCGACCTTGTCCCGCAAGGCCTGAATTTTCAAGCGATAGGTCTCACCATCCTTTCCCCAGTCTTGGGTCTTATTCCAGGTTGGATCAGAGTCTTCTGCAATGGGCGGCGGCGTCGCATCCACATCACCGACTACATCAGTATCGATGCGCGGTACGGCCGCTTGAGAAACTACGGAGCTTCCATGGCTATCTGGAAATTCGGAGGGTGAGAGGAGTTGGGTATTTGACGTCAGGGATATGAGGTAGTTTGGTTCCGTTGACGTTCTGAGAGGCGCAAGGCGCTCGGTTTTGAGAGGAACAGTGCGTTCGGTTGGGGTGGTATTCTTGTGAATGTCGATGGCAGTGGGCGAAGGAGGGGTCTCGCCCGAGGACAAATCGACGATTCGACGCTTGGGGGTTTTGCGGCGTTTCGTCGCCCCAGTGGCGCTCTCGCCTACGATAACTTTGGAGACAGGACCGTCATTGCGAGCAGAGTTCTCTTTTTGTGTACCGTACACAATCGAAGGCTTGTTTACCTCGACCGAAGCCAGTTCAGGAGCTTTTGGTTTCACGACGGAAATGGGCTCGGGAATGGGAACGCGGTCAACGAGGAGGCGCTTCTCGGCATAGCTGGGACCAGTGCCATCGATCAAAATATCCTCGGTGTACCCGGGGGTTTTGCGAAACAGGTTGAAGATTGAAATTCTGTAGTCACGATGGGATCGGGTGAAGTTGTTGCCTTCAACCCAAATTTCCCGCAGATCTGGAATACCTGTCAACCGTGCCAGTTCCATTGGGTCTGTCAGACGGTTGTCTCTCAAGTCTAGCCTTTCGAGGGGGTATAACTTTTCAATGCCTGCCAGGGACTGCAGCCGATTAGCTCGAAGATTCAGGGCTGTGATAGCAGGCAGTGGGTTCCGAGTCAGCGAGTGGAGGGAATCGATCATGCAGTGTGATAGATTTAGGGCGCGGAGAGCCGTCAGCGTTGCTAGGCTTTCCGGCACCTGGCTGAACAAGTTGGAAGACAAGTCCAAAGAATAGAGCGTGTTGGAAAGGGGTTGTAAGCCAGCAGGTGGTATCGAGGTCATGGAATTGTCTGCCAAACTCAGATGTCTCAAAAACCGCCACTTCGAAGAGGGAAGAGTCATCGTTGCCATGAGATTTCCGGAGCTGTTGCGAGAGTGCAGTGGCCAAGAGTCCGCGAGGCTGGAGTAGGAACTACCGGACCCAGATCGGCGGATGCGCTCCGACGACCTGGTGTGGCTGGGTGGATGGCGAGCACCTCCTATGCGGGAGGGCGAGCTACTCCTTGGTCTACTATCGTGGGTCAAAGGCTTTTGGTACTTGCGGTTCTCGTTTCTCGATGGCGTCTTGGCGCTATCTGATGCACTGCTGTCCTCAATCGCATGCTCGCTAGGCGTCAGAGAACCTACGCGGAGGTCACCGGCAGAGTGCCTAGGATCATTAGAAGGAGAGGGGGGAGGCAAGGCAGACGGCAAAGGAACGGTCATTGAGCGCTGGAGCTCATGGTGCATGGTGGTTGAACCTCGACGGGGGCTGTTGCTGTAACCCAGAGTAGCGGTAGGTGATGCCTGAGTCTTGGACGACCTTCGGCGTCTCTGATCCATGTCATCCAGCACAATGTCAATGAGGATATCGGCCGGATCTTCGATGCCAGCTCGTTTGAGGGAAAGAGAGCGCAGCTGGTCAGCGAGGCGGTCCCACCCAAAGAATTGCCTGAAATCGATGCTGCTCACTTCCAAAGACTGCAAGTTTTTGAAAGCGTACAGAGGAACAGCAGAATCGAATGGGAACTCCTCGTACCCACGAATGAGTCGGGCACGCCAGTCGGGGGCCAGGCGGAGGCAGGGAATCTTCGTGAAAGCTGAATACAGGTATTTCATGTCCGAGTCGAGCGCCGCCTTCTGTCGTTCCGTCCTGGCCGCTGATATACTGGCGCTGATGCCTAGGCTCGCCCACAATGCCGACATGCTTGACATGACGCCCCCAACGCTAGAGACGGAGCGGATGGAGCCCACATCGGAGTCACGACTCCTGGAACGCTGGGTGTTGCCAAGGAATGACACATAGTTGGCAGAGGTGGAACTATCGTGAAGGTTTTCTAGCCGAACTTTCATGGGCCCCACGGCAATACCGAGCTCTTCGAATCGTGAGAGCAGGTAAAACAGGTGGTGTGGTGTCAATGCCAGCTTCGCCGACTTGACACTGTTCGAGCTGAGGCCGAGACCTCCGAAGGAAAAGGCGCTCCCCAAGGAGCTCGAGGTTGATGCCGATGTGGCTGGTCGGTCGGGAAGAGTTGGTGTTCTGGGCAGGCTCACGGAGCTCGTACTCTGGGTCGGTCGATGTCGTGTGTCACGGCGCTGAAGTTGCAGAGCATTTGCAAGGGCCTTTTCGTGCGTTCGCACGAAGCCAGCAAGGTGCTGTGGTTCTTATGTTAGCCAGGTGGCGCAGACAGAGCCTAGGAGCATGCTATCAAGACATACTTTTATAAACAGATCTCCGTCTTCCGAATCCATGTTCATGTACCGATGCACATCAAAGGTGACTAATGGGAGAGGAGAGATGGTTGCACGAATTCGATCGGCGGGAGAGGGGAGTTGGCCAAGGCCGTGTGGTTTTCTGGAAGATAGCGAGTCGACTCAGCAAAGAGCCCCTCTGGATTTTTGGTGTTAGTAGAGACAACACAATCAGATACACAAAACGAGATCAGGCGAGACGACAAGAAATACAATAAAGCAATGTGCGAAAGCCGCGAGAACAGACCCGATCTATATACAACAATGCTGGGGATGCTTCGGAGGCAGAAAGAGCAGCCGGGTCAGATATCACATCACGCACAAGACAAGTCACACGTGGCACGGAATGACATCAAACGCAAACACACTGAAATGGTCGAGAGTGCAGGAGCGCACACGGGGAAGGGTAACCGAAAGGGGGAGAGACAGATGAAGCAAAAGTGCACTGGAAAATCGAGGTTTGGTGGCAGGCTGCGTGGGTGGTACTCGAGTATAAGAAGTGCTGAATGAAACTGGATGGAAGGAAACGGCCGTGGGTGGACGGGAGTCGGCCCAGATAGCAAGCACAGGCGAGAGTAACAGCGGGTGCGGTTGCGAGGGCTAGGCACCGACAATAGGGGAGCAAACAGAAAAACAAGGCAAACAGAAAATAAACAGGAGGCTGAGATGCTTGAATTCAAATGTGCAAGTAGTTTGACTTACTCACCCGGCCACAGTTGCCTTGAACCAAGCGCCCGCAGGATATATCGGCAACTTCTCGCAGGCGTGCTCGCGATATTGTTATTATTATTCGAAGCGGCCGGTCGTCGGGATCGCGAGGCCTTTGCTCACGTCGAGGGTCGGAAGGCCGAAAAAGAAAAGCAAAGGAATGGAATAGAAAAAAAGACCCTGTATCTCCTCCGTGTGGTTGCTTGCTTCTCTGGTCGGAGAAGATGCAGAAGCAGAAGAAGGGTCCAAGGCGGAGGGGTCTGAGAGGGACCCAAATCCTAATAAACAGGCTGCATGTGCGTGGACCCCGAGAAAAGAGGCTGCTTGGGGCCATGCGGCATGCCACAACGCCCAGGGCCATCCACCAGACCCCCCCTCCACCCGCAGCTGGGAGTTCAAGGTCAAGGGCGATGGGCGCCTGCAAAATCCACTAGACGCCCCCCTGCACGCTGCAACTCAGGCCCACCTGCGGGTACATGCCTGCCTGCAGCTACGACTATCGCCTCCACCCATGATACGGCAGCCATTGGACTGCACTAAGCCATGGATCAGACGCTGGACAATCAATCACCACCAAAGGAAGGCCCGCGCAGGGCTCTTTCTGTCATCCTCGCAGGCTTTGTCTGCTGGGAGACAATGCACGACAATCGAGCTTTTTCTTTCATTGTCTCTTTCCCAAGCCTCACCCGACGCACCACCGCCCCTTTTCAGTCTCAACTACCAGGTCTGGACTTGACCTAGTCCTCACGCTCACTTCCGCCTGTGTCAGCTTTTATCGTCTTGACTGTCATCCGGGCTCACAATGTCTCGCTTCCCAGGTGCCCCTGCTTGGCCACCTGATTGGGGAGGGTCACAGGCGTATAGTATGCGGACGTGCTCTGTGGACGCGCAGCGACAAAATAATAGGTAATAATAATAATACCCGTCGACTTATAATTTCCATACACATGCATGCACACCAGAGCTAATTACCGGGCTCCTCCTTGCCTGCTAGCTTGCGCTACTAGCTACGCACTACGGATTCACCACTGCACGCGACGGCCGAGAGACTGCTTCAGCCGACATGTATCAAAAGCAAATGACGATGAGAAGTGACAGCCGGGGCTCTGCCACCAATGAGGATTTGATACGCCGGCTTGGAACTTGAACCAGCGGCTGTGCTGAATGGAGCCTGGCGACGCCTCTCCTCTTTATCTGTAGGTATGTCTCGTCCATACCATGCGAGAACGAAATCCAGCGACCCCTACATTATACTGCCTCATACCTATCTTGCTTGCTCCCATGTGTGCCGAAACTGACTCAGGCCAGGGAGCATGTACCTGGATGTAGTAGGTGGCTTGTGGCGGTTGACTTCCCAGAACAGGACCCGTCGTTGGCGGCGTGGCCAGTCTTGGATAGATCCAGATGCCTCACATGCCGAAGCTCGACGTCAGTTGCTCTGATCGTGCTTCCCTCCAAACGAATCGAGCGCAACGTGCTGGCCCTGCCAGTGACGCAAGCAGTTGCACAGTTCTATAATCGAGGTAGCATATCAAATGCGCGTTGACGATGATAGTGGGGTCGAATTGGACGAGAAAGAAAAAAAAACCCGCGCGCAATCAGAAGCATAGCGGGGTCCTACAATCACCGGTTCGACGACGCCAAGACTGGGCGTTGCCAAAATGATCAGAAGCACATAAGTCAAAGGAGCCAACAGCCGTCTTGGGTAAGGTGTTCGGGAGCCTCTTGGTGGAGTTGGAGGGAGCCATGTGGGGATCTTGGCAGCCGAGCATGAGTTGAGCGAGCGAGATAGACGGCCTGGACCAGGGAAGCGAAGGGGACGAAAGCTGGCAGCATGACATCGCAACTGACGATGCGATCTTGATGCGACTCGCGGCTGGGACAGTCACTCTTGAGAGCAATCGATCGATGCTTGCACGATGCCACCCAGCCAAGACACACCTGCCGTTGTCTTGCTTTCCTTTCCATTTGTCCCTCGTCTCGTCATCTGAGATGATGTGTGGACGACTACCGGAGTGTTGATCAGTTTGTTTACTTTACTTGTTGGTGCTAGGTCTAAGACACCCCAGACTAGGCTGGTGTGTGGTGAGACAGGAACCATGTAAATACCGATAATTGTGAGCCAGCCCGGAATTCCCATGTTGGACTCGGTCCAGGCCGTTGCGACATCGCCGCCGCCGCCGCACCGGATGGGGATGGGATTGGGTGCGCTGCGCAGCCAATCCTCGCTGGTGGCGGCCGTTGATTGTTTTGACTTCATTTCGTCGTGCAGGACCCTGCCAGGAGCACGGAGCCGGGAGACTGAGCATTGGCCAGGCGTCAATATTGGCGACGGCCACCAGCTGCCTCTGGCTCTGCGCGACGTCCCCAATGGAGGCTAGGCCCATCCGCTTGCCGATGGCTCACTAAGCCCAGCAGAGGAGGCCAACTGCACCGCCGTACAGGGGCCCAGGATCCAACCTCCTTGGACTGCCTGTGCCGACCAGCCCTCCTGGCCCTCGGTCGTCGAGACATGGGATGCCGAGCACGCACGCACCGCAGTTGCCAAATGGAGATATTCCTGCTCTCTGGGCAACCGTTCGCTGCTCCTGAGAGGAAACAATCTCTGTCTGGCCATTGTCTGGCCTCGCGATGGACCGTCACAACGTGGAATGGCATCACTCTCGACATCGAAGCCCACCCCGATACCACGCAACGACGACACCCAGCGCCACTCGCGATCAGCCGCCCATATGCTGCCGGTTCAATCTCGTCCATTCAACCATCAACATGGGCCCGCCTGGCAATGGCATCTCTGCTTCGAGCTATGTCATCCTCCCCACAGCGCGCAGAGCGTGCTTCAGTTGATTGGGGGCATCATGTCATCTTGCCTGGTCAGCCCCCCGCGCCCCTCCTCCCTTACTTTCCACCTGGATGGTATCCCCCACTATTAATCCCAAGTACACCTACTGCAGATACAGCCAAGAAGATGGGGGCACCTCTCGTCGACGCTCCAGCAGGCGTTTCAAGGTATTAAATCGTGTCACGCCTGCTCGGGATTGGCTAGCTGACTGGTTCTTCATCGTCCAAGTTGCCACACTCGGTACTACACCCATTTGCTACTACACCACCACCGGCCATCTCATCCCATGTCCGGCCAAGGAGACGTATATATGTCACCTTGGTATCGTCGAACAGCTACTGAATGGACCAAACTGCTGGGCCGAAAAGACGTAGAGGTAAAACAGTAGAGTGAGTGGGAAGTACAAGCAGGAGAGGCAAGGGGAGGGGCGAGGGAAAGGAACTGCAGCAGAGGTACTCTGTACATTGCGGTTTGTTTCAAGATCTACCTAGACTTGCCGCTCTGTCGCATCACTGCAACTTAACGCAGTGAACTCTGGAGAGAGTTCACATTGAAACAACCATTCTGATTGATCTCATATCGCTGAACCCTGGTCAAATAAGCGCTCCCAAGTGGATTGCAGGTGGCTGTCGGTACATGTCGATCCGTCTAACTGTGTTGACCAGATCAAACAAAATTGTGCTTGAATGGAAGCGCCTGTGGTGATCCTCACCGCCTCTCATCAAATTCTAGCGCATGTCGTGACTCGGCAGGCAGCACACCACCTCGCGATTGGCTGATATCTTCTCTCTGCCACCTCCATGCTACCTACACGATACCTGGATGATACCTCAGTGATGCGGAAATGACTTGCCTTGGACCACTTTGGATGGTCTTGCAGGATCATCGTATGTCTATCAAGCGGATGTCCACATGCCGATATACTCCCGGCAGCGCACAATGCATCGATATCTGGAACATGACAGAAAAAAACTAACAAGTGAGGAGAGGGTGGGATACAAGCAGGAAATACCACGATCCCTCAGCCTCTACCTAGATGGCATGCTTAAATTCTCCTGCGCCTAAGGTTGCATCGCATCATGTACATGGTTGACGAAACCATTGATATTACCATCAGCTACACCATTCCACCACTCGGCCAAGCCTGGCTCTCCCTCCTTCTCTTCTCTGGCGGGCAGTGCAGGTACTATGTAGGCAAGATTGATTTTCAAGTGTGTATGGACATGTAGGAGTGGTAGTGCATGGATATTCCGCATCTGGTGATTATTCCCTCTCCCTCAGCGACGCCATCTCATTTGGCACCAGCTGAGATGATCCAGAGCGGCGAGATGGAGGGAGGGGTCGAGCGGTGGTCATTGGCTAGCTCTCTTCCCAAGCGGCTCCTCTGAGATCCTCGGTCTCTCTTTTCAATTAAAGCCACCATCTCCAGCTCCCGGTTGAAGTACGCACCTGGCAATAGCCTGTCGATCACTTGTGATGAGGACGCGCATATCTAGAAGGGACCACGGTCATCAGGGTCCCTTTTAGCGGCCAAAAGCCGTGAAGTCTGACTACTTGCTCTCCACAAGGGACTTATACCATCATAGTAATACCCAAAATAACCCATGTCCGCTCGCCATGGAGGCAAAAGAGGGTACGGCGGCGGGCATGGGCCAGCCCAGCCAGCCTCCGCTTGGCACACTCGGGCGCTAAAGGCGCTTTCCATGGGAAACACATGAGCTATCTCTCCAGTCGAGATCCCAAGAAGAGGGTCACTAGCCATGTACGGATACATCATAGCCTCCTCTTTGTCCACGAAGCCTTTTTGACCTCTTGACTTGACATCCAGCCAGCCACGGGCCCATTCTCTCCACCACGCCCAGCCCGCCATGACGCACTAAGACCCGCGTCTGACGGTTTATAGGACAATTCTTGCCTACACGAGAACATGGGAGTTGGCGAATAGCAGATGGCGGTTTGCCCTCGAGAAACCGCCTTTTCGCCATGATTCCATCACGGGACTACAAGATTCCCCTTCCCCCCTCCCCCTCCTGAAAGTGAAAAAAAAAAGGAGACGAAAGGAAAGGCAAGACATTAAAAAAGAGGTTAAGCGCGATACGCCCCCCGGTTCAGCGACTAGGTTGGCCAGATCTGTGAGCGCAGCAGTGGCATGCGGGCTCTTTCACACCGCTGCCTTTCCCCCCTCCTCCTCCATCCCCCCGTTCCCTCCCCTCTCAATACCAGCTGGCGGAGAGAGCGTGTGCGTCCCATCGAGGGAAGCCGGTAGGTGTCTTTCTCATGCAAGACAGAACTGGGCCTACGCAACCGCGGCCCCCATCTCCCCAATCAGCGCCTGCTCGGACGACACCCGGGATGTCCACCAGGTTCTTTTCTGCAAGCTGGAATGGCACGCACGAATGCGATGCAGCCACTTCTAGACTGGGTTATGAATGGCCAATTCGCGCTCTGGCCTGAATCTTGCATCCGGATCTTTCGTGCACGTCCGAGGGGCGGTACTGTATGTACATACCCAAGGTCGGCCAAAACTCCACACCAAAGATGTGGGTGTCGTTGAATGTTGGTTCTCATTTGCATTAACGTGCACTTCTTACCTGAGAGACTTGGTTTCGCCTGGGCCTCTCGCTTCGCCGGCGAGCCTCCCGGTAATCTATTTTCGTAAACACCGATCCATAGAGTGTTTTGGCGGCCTTTTTGGCTTCCAAACTTCCGCAGCCACCGGGGAGCGGAATATCGAGATATCTATACCACTGCCGGGTATCTGGTGGATGTGCGTCACTGACGTAGAGCAGCGACTGGCGATAGTCGGCGACCTTCAATGCACGCTATCAGGTAGGTAGGTCTTGAGAGTGATTATTGCCTGCAATGCAATCCGTCCCCAGTGGGAGGTGCCATGTACCGAGATGGGAGCGGCAGTAGAGATACATGGCACAGTCGAGGCTGTCTTCCTGGCCGAATGTCTCATCGTACACCATCTCCCGGAGAAAAGAGGTGTCAATACTATGCAACCCACGCATGCAACTACCTACATACACTCGAACGGGCGTGGAGGAAATCTCACCGTCTGGCCGATGCAAATTTTCCACCTCCATCATGCACATTGGCCAAGCCAATCACCCTCCTCAGGAGGGCCGGTGGTGCAATGCGAATCGCACCGCGCGCGAGAAATGCTACAGGTCACTTGCCTGTCGCCTGCAGACGGCGTGCAGGTACTTGGCCGCGGAGGTACATCCATCATGCAATTGTTGATCTCGTACATGGGAGATGGGCCCTTCAGCATAACCTTTGCCGTGTCTTACGATGTCTGAGACCGTCTCTCACACCACCACCGGCGAGCGCGCGCACTAGAGCATCCAAATCTTACAAAACCTCCATTGTACTGCTGCACCTCTCGTTCGAGCTGCATGTCCGTGTTAGTGCAGGTCAGCATGCACCCGATCCTACTGACACCGCCATCAAGTACCTCTACAAAGGGCTCATTGAAGTTTTTTTTCATCTACTCTTTGCTCCTCTTCCAAGTATCATTCCCTCAGCCCACCTCAAACACACGCGCTGGCTCGTCCTGCGCCTTAGAAAAACCGCTTTAAACAATGACGCATGCCGAGCGACAAAAACTGCATATGCTAACTCTGACAGCTGGAGACCTCAATGCAGCCCTCCTCCACTTCCTTCCTGGCAAATTTTCCTGGGGACCTTTTATTAGGATGTCCTTGCGGGACCTCCAAAGAGGGTCCCCCAGAATCGCTCGTTTTCCATGTCGAAACGTATGATCGAGCAAGTCAAATTCGATCACGGCCGCCATCTGCCCCGCCACTAAGACGCGGAATTGTTGTCTTCGGATTTCACCACTTGACCATATGGCCCCTCAATATGGATATCTTTCTTACCTTTGCTTTTTTCTCGGTGATCCTTCACACACCCCCCTCGCGTAGATCATGGTTTCCCTCGTCCATGGGGAATTTTCACCGCTTCCATTTTTTGCTCACACGGCGGAAAAGCTGCTAGTCCAATTGGAACGTGCATGACATATGACGATCACCTCTGCTGATTTACACTCCCATCTGTCACTTTTCTGTCCCGTTCGGGCAACGAGGGCTTTTCCCGCTCGCGGGGCCCTTTCAGCAGCACGCGATGGGTGACCTGACCGAGAGGAGGAGAGGGGGGGTCGTGTTTGCTGGCTTTTCGTGGTCCCCCCAAACAGATGGGCAGAGAACTTTTGTTGTACACCGTATGGTGTGCGTTGGTGATCTGCTCGATCTGCTTCCTGGGCTACCTCACCGTGGATCGACAGGTACCGAGGACCGGCGCTTGCTCATCGAGATCTCTTCCCATCGTCTGTCTTGCTCCGAGCGGGAGAAACGTAAGTCAGGCTGTGTTAGACAGAAGGGCACATGTCGTAGCTTGGTCGGTGGACGGGCACGTTCAGTCTTCTCTCCCAAAGTGTGATTCATACAACGAGACAGTTTAGCTCGTTAGCTCTTTCGTTCCATGCCATTGTCCTATGATACAGCTAGTAGAAACATCCCTTTTTGTACAATTCTGGTCGAGTATATCCCCCCAACCCGTTGAGTTTCACCTCGTTTGCCCAGTTAAGTTCCCCCCTTACTTCGGGTCGATGGGCACGATCCTCTCCAGCGTCCTGAACCCATCGTGCGCAAACCCCTTCTCGACGTTCACCTTGTAGTTCTTCCCGTCCACCGTCATCACCCCCCACCCCATGTCCGTCCACGCCGACCGGACGCCCCTGAACAGCGCCTTGAGCGCCCTCCCCATCCGCCGGAACGGCATCGTCAGTAGGTGCTCCATGTCGAACCTGCGCAGCGCCACCTGCTCCTGCTCGGCCCTGCGCGCCAGCTCCTTGCGCCTCAGCTCGGGCACGTACTCGTCCGGCAGCGAGAGCCGCGACTTGAGCGACACCTTGTCCAGCGGCACCCTGAGCACCTTGGGCTGCAGGAGGGGCACCATGCGCTGCACCGTGACCTCCATCGTGGGCGCTGCTGCTGCTGAGGGTGCTCGTCGGGCGGCGGCGGCGGCGGGGACGTTGGCCGGCGCCGACTTTGCTGCTGCTGCTACCGGCAGGACCCGTATGGAGCTGACGATGTTGGGAGTCTTGGAGATGAGGAAGAAGCCCATGCCGGTGAGGAGGGCGTAGGAGGCGCCGTAGACCCAACTGACCCACGACGGCACGCCCTCGGGCTGCGAGACGACCGAGGGGGCCGTCAGGCACGTCCACGCCAGGATCGTGATGCCGCTCGTCCAGCATCCAAAGTAGAACCAGAAGTGTGAGGCGCCCTCGTAGAGCACCGTGGGGGTCGGCTTGGAGGCCAGGGTCTTGATCAGAGCATAGTTCGTAAGGCCGCTTGGTTTGGGCGGTTGGCCTCGTTGTGAGGGGCGCGGCGGCGGCGGCGGCGGTCTGCTCGCTTTGGCTGGGGAGGAGGCGGCGGCGTGCCAGCAAGGGGACGTTGTGAGTAACCGGGCTGCTCGCGGGGCAGACAGTTCGGAGAGGAAAATTCGCGGGCTCGAGAGCGGCCGGAGGGAGTGCTGCAGCAGCCCCCGGGAGAAACTGGCCATTGCGGATGTTGTGAGCTCCAGGCCTGGGGGCGCAATTGGAGTAGAGCCGTATGTGTTTCGGGTAAGTGGACGGTCACCTTCGCAATGGCAATGGCATCGCCAGCCAATTCTGTCTGTGTAATCTGGACTGGCGTGATGTGATGGCGGGAGCTATCAAAAATTCCCAATGGCTCGTGGGTCAAAGGGACAGGGATCGGTCCAAAGTACAATCCACTTAAAGGGTACTACCGGAAGGGTAGGCGACAATATAAATGCGTCAAAAGTAGCGTGCAGATCAAACAGAGTATTTTTGTCAGGCTGCCCGGTGTAAAGCAACTCCGACGTATCGGGACATTGCGCCCAAAAAATAAAAAAGTGGACCCGTGTCGTCCGTTGGATGGAGCATATTCCCAACAGCTTCAACCTCGCCTGAGCTTTGCAACTGCCGCAGAAGCATCTCGACCCTCCTCCCCATCACCAATCCTCCCTCTCTGCAGTCTCGGACGCCCCCTCAATGGCATCCCTTGCGGCAGTGTGCCGGGCCACAGCTCGTCTCTCGAGCAACCCCGCTGTTGGGGCCCGCGGTATGATCCCCTTTTATACCACCGACCCTCCGCCATCAGACCCCTCCTGCCAGGCGCCGTTTACGGAGCGGCAAAGAAATCATTGGAGTCTCCCCTGCTAACTAGATCTCTTTTCGTGCACATCAGCTTTTACATCATCCTCGCGATGCCTCGCCGCCCAGAACTTCACCATGCCGGCCCTGTCCCCGACCATGACTGAGGGCAACATCGCGGCATGGAACGTTAAGGAGGGCGACTCCTTCAGCGCCGGCGACGTCCTCCTCGAGATCGAGACCGACAAGGCCACAATGGACGTGGAGGCCCAGGAGGACGGCGTCATGTTCAAGATCCTCTCCCAGGGCGGCGCCAAGGGCGTCCAGGTTGGGACTCGGATCGCTGTCGTCGCCGAGCCTGGCGATGACCTCTCCTCCCTCGAGGTTCCGGCCGAGGAGAAGGCCTCCCAGCCCGCCGAGAGCGCCTCCAAGGGAGGTGCCGCTGCTTCACAGGCCAGCGGCTCTGGCTCCTCCCAGGCCAAGTCCAGCGCAGTAAAGACCTCAGGCGGGGGCAGCTACGAGCACAAGCTCCCCCTGCTCCCCTCCACCGGCCACCTCGCCGCGCAGAAGGGTCTGAGCCAGGAGGATCTGAGCAAGATCAAGCCCACCGGGCCAAACGGCCGGCTGCTGAAGGGTGACGTCCTGGCGTTCCTCGGTACCATCGACGCCGAGGCTCCAGCCGCCATCTCATCCCGCTTCGAGAAGCTGGGTCACCTCGACCTCAGCAACATCAAGGTGGCCGCGCCCCCCAAGAAGGAGGAGCCGGCCAAGAAGGAAGCCGCTCCCGCCCCCAAGGCACCGGTCGTCGAGAATCTGGAGATCAACGTCCCCGTCTCGCTGTCCAAGGTCGTCGAGGTCCAGAACAAGATCAACGACACCCTCGGCGTCTTCCTGCCCCTCTCCACCTTCATCAGCCGCGCCGCCGACGTGGCCAACGCCGACCTGCCCCCCGCCTCGCGGCAGCCCACCGCCGAGGAGCTCTTCGACCAGGTCCTCGGCCTGGACAAGGTTAAGGCCGCCAGGGGCACCCGGGGCGTCTACCTTCCCCAGATATCCGCCATCACCCCCTCGTCATTCGTGTCCGCCCCTCCTTCCAAGAAGTCGGACATCATCGACATCCTCACCGCCAAGCCCAAGAAGCGAGCCTCCCCGCCCGTCATCCCCACAGTCCCCGGCCTGTCGAGCGGCGCCAATGTTTTCAGCCTGGTTGTCCCCAAGGCCGAGGAGCAGAGGGCACAGGTGTTCCTGGAGCGATGCAAGGCGATTTTGGAGGAGGAGCCGGGACGGTTGGTGCTGTAGAATATTTCGGAATTCCCTTTTCCCCCACTTCTTGTAACTATGCTCCTGCCTTTAGATTGGAGACTATACCTAGGTTCTCTTACAAATAAAAAATTAATTTCCTTGCTCTACATGCTCTGTTGTGAATGTACCCAATCACACGATTAGTGCTCCTTCCAGGCGGCAACAGTGTTGTTTGTATTGTCTAATAGTATCCTATCTGAATTACTCTGATCTGATTTTCAATGTCAATACTTGGCACCTAGCAACTCCATTATTCGCCGTCCTTCATGGTAAAAGACCCGGACCTATCCCTCTCGTCATGCAGACCGGACCGGTCTGGGAGTCTGGCATATGATTCTGGGGCTCTGTACGGTGGGCCATGGCTTGGAAGTGTCGCCATCGAACGCGACTTTACAAGAGGTGGGTAGCCCGGGCCCGTGTTGCTGGGCAGAGGAGTGATGTTCCAAGGCTGGTCCGTTGCCAAGACATTCGCACGAGACAAAGGACTAACGCCGGGTTCAAGTTTGAAGGTGCTCATCATGCCACCATGAGGGTCCAGATGGCTACCTCGACGCTGCATTGGAGCCGTTGCCTCGTCGGGTCTACCCAAGGTCTCTCGATGTTGGGCTGCGGAACCAGGCCTCTTGAGTCCTGGAACCAAGCCCCTAGCGGCCTCCAGCTCTGGCACATTCGTATCAGGAAAAGAAGGGATTTTGAGGCCCTGACTTTGTATTCTCGTCATACTCGTAGAGGATTCGGAAGACTTTTGTTTCTCGACAAAACGATGAAAGGAATTCAGCACGTCGGAAACCCGTTTGCCAAGGGCATCTGACCCAGCGCAGTAGTTGGCCATCTCGGTGGCCTTTTTAGCCAGCTCGCTATATTGTTCGTTGCGGTATAGGCCGAAAGATTCGTTGCTGTGAACCACGAGGCCGGCGGCGAGCAGGAAGTTGCTTGTGGGCAGTTAGCCATGCGCCAAGGGAGCTCTGACGTCCCAACTTACAGGATAAATGTATTCCGCCGAGGTAGCCAAGAAGACATGTACGCAGCGTGCATCAAGTGTAGTGTCCTTTTCGCCACAGCTAAACACGATTCGGAGAGCATACCCAGATCCGAGTTTGTGCGAGTCGTAGTCTCCGTTGTTTTCGAGGCTTCCTTCTGTGTCTGAAAAAGAAGAAACAAGAAATAAGGTCTCGTCAGAAGTAGTTGGCAGTGCAGCTCGACGAGGTTGACGTATAACACAGCGATGCCTTCATCGGGAAGCAACAATTCCTTGAAAAGCCGGCTGGCCAAGAGTCTTGGAGACAACGCCTTCACTCTATGAAGACATTCGTCGAATAGCTCCTTTCCGGCTTGGATCGGGACCCGCCGAGACTGTCCATAAATTTCCCTGAGAATCATGCCCATCCCTTGACACGACTTGACAGTTGCATTGAAGCTCTCCATACACGCGGTTTCGTTCGCACTTTGCCCATCTTGTACCTTCGGTGGAATGAGCGCGGTTGGAGAACAGTTCTCCTCCGAAATTGCCGAAGGCCGGCCAAGGAACTCTGAGATCAGCTTATCGAGAACGAATAGGCTTCTCCAAAGATTCCGTCTATGGGCCAGCGCGTATTCCTGGTTTTGGAATATGCCAATGTAGTCGTCTATCCGGTGTAAACCCAGAGCAACCGCGAAACTGACTGCTTTTGCTATCTTGGTGGTCAGACACGACAGGAAAACATAATCCCCCCCTGTTTTAGAACGTACCTATGGAGGCATAGGCTGCGTTCCACTTTGACACCGAGAACTTATACATGGCTATAAGAGCGTGAGCTTGAATAGACCAGATATCGCCATCCGCAAACTCCGGGAGCTGTTCTCCAAAATACATTGCACTTTTTAAAAGCGCTTCGGCTTGTTCAATGGATCCTATTGAAAATGGGCCAAGTAAAAAATCGGCTTCGGTCCCTGGCGTGGGAACCACCATTACCAGGCTGGCCGCAAGCGTCAGGTATATGTTGCAAAGGTCTGAAGGGTGTACAGAGGCGGGATTCATATAGTATGCGTTGATTGTCATTTCCAAATGTCGGCGCTCCATTAACTCGACGAGTCCCCTGGTCTTCTCGCCCATTAGTAGTGGAACACCAAGTCAAAGTGGCATCAACCTACATTGGTAAAAAAGAATTGGATCAGTGCGTCCACTGCTTCTCTCCCTGGAAGAATCCAAGGTGATTCTATGTCTGAAGGTATAGCCGCATAATTTTCCGGTATTTTATGGCGAATGGGGTCACCTGTAAAGGATGATTGCTCTGTCGGATTGTCTACTATGATCCTCATGAATTGTAGGTATGACAATGTAGAAGAATTGCCGACAAACACTAAAGCTTGAGGTTAGAGTAACAATTATTGAGGGCTCTATTGATAGTTCCACGTACAAAGTCGTCCATTCGAGTCTTCCAACATTCTTACATCGCCATACATGTCAATATGGTCATCTTGGCCCAGTGCAACGGTTCCCTTGTTAGAAGTGGCCAGTGTGCTTGGGGGCGGAGGGTTGTCTTGGCCATGGAATTGTTGGGTTGGGGTGGGCTGTTCTGTGGCAACGCAATGCAAATCTCCCATAGGACTGCTCCATGCGAGTCCCGGCGTGGATATAGTAGAATTACTTCTACTTGACCCGATTGCGATCAGATCAAAGGGCTCATCTGTGTTGCGTCGCTTCGTTACCGATCCAGCACGGGAGGTGGTATCGCCGTCATGGGAGGGACCCGGGGTGTACTGGCAAATTGAACTTCGTTTGAGGCAGGTGCTGCAAGGTTTCAGACCGTTACACTTGACACAATAATCAGTCAGCTTCGAGATATAGCTCCTTCAGCCCAGTATCTCGTCAGAGTATAGAAACAACCCCCGTCTCCGTCTTGCAGGCCTAGACAAGGGGATCTCCGAGTATCTGTTGTTCACACTTGTGAGGATAGAAATCAGCATAACAAAACAAACTCCTCACCAAGGCAGATGCAAGCGCAGAAGAGGATTTCTATCCCAGCCGCGTCAATACAAAAGCCTTCACGAAGGGGTAGCGAGTCGACGGCTCTTTTCTACATCAGGCCTTGTTTTGATCACGGATTTTGTTCTGCGGTTGGATGCGTGGGTATTGGGTCATAGCCACGGCTAGATCCCAGTAGGGCTGCACAAGAGGAGCCTCAAAAGGGGAAAATACTCGCGTGATAACACGGCCATGATGTTGGCCAGGGGTTTCTAAACGATTCGGATGGGATTTGAAGCCATCAGCGTATTGGGAGGGGGGTAACTGGTATCAGACTTGGAATGAACCTGGAGATCCGATTCAAACAGTACCAGGTTGATGGAAACGAGTTTTGAGGAGGGGAATTTGGTGGAAGGAGGAAATAGAAATGTCAACAAGGAATCATTTGCTGACTTACTTTCTGTTTTCGACGCTTGCAAGTATCACAAGCTTGAGCAATTCTTTGCCTCCTCTCCTCTGGCACCTTTGGCCGGGTCATTGTGAATATGACTGATCAAGGATTGCCACGGACAACCGCAACATCGGGAGCAGTTTGATTGATAATGATCGATCCCCAGGTGAACGGATGGGTAGCACGGAATGTAATAAAAAACCCAATATGGTGAAGGTACAGGCACAATTTTCACCTCTAACCGGGGTGAAACATACAATGACAGGAAGATTTTGGCGCTTGTCCTGTTGATAGAAAAGGCGCACCCCAGGAGGTGGGAAGAGAACTGGGGCGAAGCCCTGTGCTGGATGTTGCTTGGCTAACAGTTTTTTAAGGGAATAGGAGGGTGGTTTCCCAGACCTACAGAACTCTGCAGGTTGCCAATATAAGCAACCATGTTGCAGGACCTATTGGTAATGGGAAGATCTCAACTAGACAAGGAAGACCTCTTCCCTAATTGGAGGGTAAGAGGCCACTACGGTCCTAGATCCATCTGGAAACGATGCATATTGGGCGGGAATTCTTGAAGTGAAAACAACCAGGCTGTCGATGTCACTGGGAGACAACCATTTCCTAAGCCCAATTTTCAAGATGAGGCGTTCTTCTTGGCGGCACTCCCGTGACAAGCATGGTTGGTTCAGCTCAGGGGAGTCCGGAGGGGGAGCACGGCCCGCCCTTACAGCTGGGTGGCCGTTGATGATGACCAAACAGCTAGCCATCATCCCCATTACCGTCCTTACACAGTGGTAGGTCACCACGAGAGCGGGCGCGTGCGCCAGCAGGTCAACTATCCGAGCTTTGTGCATGAAGCCCCATTGGGTGGGTTGGGAATATTGGAGTCTGCTTGCTTCTTTCAAGCACAACATGGATACAGGTTTGGGAAGATCCATTGGGGCAGGGCATGGAGCCAGCTATCTTGTTGACTTGGTGAAGAGTAGCTGCGCTCGCTTCTGTAATTCTTTGTCTGCAGGAGACACCCACAACGAGATGGATTTGTTTCAGTTGGGGCACACCCCTCCCAGGGCGAAGAGGCTGTGGAGTGTGAGTAGCAAATGACAGCCAGATGCTCGTACGTGTCAAGCAGGCGGTAGGGTATTAGCCAGTAGCCTTCTATCGCTCCGAACAATGCCTTTCCGAGGAGAAGGAATGTAGATAGTGCGGTGAGCGGGCTTCGGGAAATAAGGTAGTGTTACTGGTAACACAAGGACGGGCCAGCCGTGTTGCTCCCCACAGAAGCACAACCTGCAGAAAAGCAAAACTCCCTTGTTCGTTGCACCCGGGGTAGTTATACCAACTAGGACTGCGCGTCACATCGGAATCCCCGGTTACTCTCATCGAATGAGAATGGCCCTCGAGGCGCCCGAGTTGATCTCATTGGATCACACGAACTCCCACCAGAACGGCTCGCGCCCCTCTTCAGCCTTCCTTTGGAGCATTCCTTGAGCACAGTGCCTCGGTCCTGGGATTGCCGTAGATGGGCAGAGCAGCACGAGGTAAATGTTGAGATCCGGCCTCTCCAACAAGGAATGGATCGTCCGGGACATCGGAAGGTATCCCGGAACTGGGTGTGCTGTGGAATGGATAGAGAGCAGTAGTGAGTACGCTGGCTCACAGGCTGGCAATCGGTTTAGTGCGTAGCTCCCGTTGTGGGCCCTGGCTTCGACGATAGAATGCTCACGAGTCCTTTCTCCCTTCCGCGGCGCTTCTCAATGGCCAAAGCCCAACGACGTTGCTGGATCTCAAAGCTCTTTGTGCAACCTCTGCGTCCACAGCGCCATGTCCGCTGTGAGACTCGTATGATTGCTCCGCACAATGACTCAAGTCAGGAAGGGTTCTGTTTTACAGCTCCCAGGGAACATTACACACCATCTGCAGGCTTACTCCCTCTAGTGTCGTGAGGGAATGTGTTCAAGCTACAGATGAGAAATTCTTAATACGCACATGCATCCGCGCAGTTGCCGGTTCTTTCCTCTTCCCCCCTCCTTCCTTCCCAAATAGGCGCTGCTTCTCCAGTTCCTTCCCCCCCTAAAACAGTACCTTGGTAAGCTAAGGCAAGGTGGTCATACTCGAGGAAAGTGATGGAGCGAATACGGCCGGGCTCTCTTGCCTTCTCACAGCATGTCTCTTAGAAGGTACCACCCGAAGTCACTGCCCCTCTAGGTCTAATATTACACCTAATCGAGTTACTGGGGCTGCTCTCTGACTCCTTTGGGAACTGCGACCCGCCAGCTTGCCTGTACCTGGACAACGACGCCCAACCCAAATCTGATATTCCCACGAACAGTCACATTCGCCATGTACACTTGAGCAAAACGAGGACTCCAGCTGCAGTCCATCACCGATTCAATCGCAACCCGTAGTCTAGACCCGGTGTTTTCTTCTTTGGCCCAATATTGCCATGTACTGCCAAGGTGTTCGGTCGCCTCCGCCCCTCTCCTCTCGCTCTCCCTCCTCTCCTCCCTCTTCCCTCCAATCTCCCGCCCCCGCCCCTCCCCTCCCCTTCTCCCACCAGCGCCGGCGGTATCGTCAGACAGAGGCCATGCATCCCTAGTCAGGGCTACATAAAATGCCGAGTACACCGAAGAGGACCTCGCTAGGCGGTTGAATCCCAGACACCACCTTGTCTGTCTTGGATATTATTTTGATCCCTCCAGTGCGAATGATTCGAGGGCTTCTCCCGACAGCCTAGTCCTCGGGACCCATTGAGGTCCCATTACTTCACACACAAGGTCTCAGTTTGCATGCACGCTCCTCGAGTTTCTGTCAGGTGCCACACCGACCACCAGGGCCAGGATTTGTCTCGGTCTGCATCCAACGCTAGGATCCCAAGGGGGTGTCGGGTTGATCTGTGACCGATTATCTGTCAGGGATTTTCAGCCTCTCATCTACAGAGTACATGGTATAACACGCCTACCATCGCCATGCTCTGGTAGATTTAGCCCGGCTTGATCTGCATCGGGGATTTTCAATCTCATTGTACACCTATCCCATACGAGGTGAGCTTTCTGAGATAAGCGACTGAGCCCAAGCGTCAGGGTAGCATTCAAGATGCGGTCGCTAGTGCTGAGTTGAGCAGACGTCGCACCGATGCAGCGTCGTAGCCGAACCTCACGTTTCTTTTTACGATGCCAGCCCAGCACATCATCTCATTCCTGCGGATCGAGCTTATGCGGAAAGAATCGAAGACGGTCTATTCGCCAGGATTATTTAAATTGGGTAACAAATATATGTACACGAAATAAGCTAACACAGCTTGTTTTATTTCCCCCCTCCTTTTGTTTCCCCTTCATGCCCATTTAGTAGGGCCAAAAATTTCGCCCGGCTTGACATGCTCTTGGATGGCCGTGCGCTTGAAGTCCAGGGTGCCTGTGACAACATTGTTTCCCCACCAATTTGGCGGCTTGATGTGGTTCAGTGTGAACGCGAAGAAGATCACCATAGTCGCTAATGCGAGACCCAGGTCTAGGCCGGACGAAGTGAGGAAGTTCAGCCGGCTCCACCAGCCAAAATGTCTCTTCTTAATCCAAAACTGGAAGATAAATCCAACAATGCCCCAAGAGAGGTAATTGAGAGGCGTCGCTGGTGGGATGGCGCCTGCACCTCCAAAGATCAGCGGTGCCATCAGAAACCTGACCCACGACTTGGGCCACTTCTTTATCGAAAAGTAGATAATCACGGGCAATATAGCCCCCATGATGAAAAATACGAAAAGGCCTGAGTAGATGCGGCCCGGTGAGAACATGCGGTCAGGGCCGATCAGACCCCAGATCACGGAGGCGGCGAAGAACACTCGCCCACCGGGGCAGGTAAAGTTGTTGGCCTGGTGGATTTCGCAGACATCCTCAATGTGGTGAAGAGCGAAATTGAGGACTGTGATCTGGATGAAACAGCTGAACGTAGTAGCTACGACCTGACACATGAACATAGTTCTGGGAGGGATCTTCATGTAGTGCCCGAACTTGAGGTCTGAAATAAAATGGAGACTCTGAGACATTGTGATATATCCAAAAGTCTTAAAGCTGCATAATTGAGAAAAAAAAGCGCACAATGTCAGTTACTGAGCAATAGAAACGGGACGTTCGGTGCCGAAACGGTATCAAAGGGGGGGGACTCACATCATTAGGGCAAGGGGCCTGCCAGGCTGGATGTAACCGTAGATAAATTCGGTCAAAACATTGAGGCCAATGCGTTTATTTGTGATGGCCTCGATGATGCCAATTGGCAGAGCAAATGTGAAGGAAATAACCACGGCGAGCAGGAAAGCCCACCAGGTGAGATTGGTCGGATACGCGAGCACGGCGAAGAATCCCAGACCAAGCATCTGGATTGGTCAGCGAGTCCGTAAAGGAGGGGGTGAAGGGAGAGAGAAGCGGTGACTTACAAGAACAAAAAGAGACATGTACCACCAGGTAGGGGCCTCCTTGTACTTGCGCATAAGCTTCATGTGAATATCGGGCTTTTCACTCGAGCTGCTCTTGTACTGCGACATGATCCTCTTGCCATTGTGGAGGATGGTGTAGACAATGAGAGATGAGATGGCAGCGAATGACAGTCCGTATGACAAGGCAAACGTGGTGCTGCAGTTGGGAATCTCATGTTAGTCCTATATTTGGCCGGTGGCAGGCTATATGGGAGGGAAGAACGCGCTAACCTGATGAACAATGGGGAGTACTTCTCATACTCCGTTTCGTTGAGGGTGAATTGAGGAGTCAGAATTCGAGTGGTGTTGTAGGCATGACCCGTGTTGTCGTAAGTGGTGGAATCGCTCATTGGCAGATACTTGCCATACCATGCCCCATTGAAGTGTAGGAAAGCAGCACCGAAACAGTAAAAGACGACGACGCCAATCAGCGTGTTTGCAATCGCATGCCTAGAGGGAGAGGAGCCTGTCAGCAACACGTATCCGATATACCCCTATTTGTTGGATATACATACCACGGGGGGATAAGAGGAGAGCCATGGTAGCCAGCAATTTGACTCCAGTCGAAAGTGATGGGAATCAGCGACAATCCGGAGTGCCCACCAAAGAGCTGGTTTACCATCACATTGTTGGGTGCCATCCACGTAGCAACGGCGAACACACTGAGAAACTTGGCGAGGAAACCAGGGATGAAATAGTAGACGGCGGAGCACAAAACCATAAGGCCAAACCATCGGAATCGGGGCATTTTGCCTCCAATAACCGTGGGGTCTGGCTTCTCATTCACCTCATGCATGGCATTAAGAAGAGTAACTCCGACCAGGTTTCCTGGCCAGATCATGGAAGACGGGTAGACTATCAAGGGGGAGAGTTGTTAGCTTCGGGCTCTATAGAGACGGGGTGCAGCACTCAGCGTATCCTTACCAAGGAATTTCCTCAACATTCCAGCGATACCATAGCCCAAAGATTGAGTAGATATCGTGAGAATCAGCTGGAAAATCAGGCCGAAATCCTGCTTGTAGAAGTGGACCTGTGCGAGAATGATATCGGTCGCATATGCAACAGAAAACGACACACTGGCCATGACGACAATAATGGCGTGTTCCTTGACATTGAATGGCCCTGGATTGAGCTCGATGCACGTTGTCTTGCCCAGGGGGATCTTCACATTGGGGAAATATTTGGCCCATCCATGGCCCAGAGGCCAAGCGACGATTTGGGCGATCAGGGGGCCGATCGAAATAGAGGGCCGCCGCAGAGAAAATAGGGTGTTCATGGAAGCGCCGAAAATGACCAGGAACATGCCAATTGACCAGGCCCGGACCGTGTTGCAAGGCATTTCCTCGTCATAATTCTTGACTGCGGCCCGGACTTCGGGGTATGGCGAGTTTTCCTCCTCCTCGCCCCGGTTCTTGACCGCACCGCTCAGCAAACCCTCCTCCACATCTGACCCAAGATCCTCATCTTCGTCTGGGAGATTGGGGTCATTCATGAGCTCATACTCGGATCCCTCATCATCATCATCATGATTTCCAGCCAATCCAGCAACGCCTTCCCTCAAAGCCCCGTCTGGGGAGTCAGGCCTGTCATGAGCGCCAGACAACCTTGACGCCAGAGAGTCGTCAGGCAAAAGCCCGCTAGTCTCGGCGGTTCTGGATCGCTCATCCTCATTTAAAAGACTCATGGTGACAGAATCCTGTGAGTTGGCCAACCGAAGACGCTGGCCTTGTGCGAGGCTATCAACGCCTCAAATCCGGACAGTCCGCTGTTCAATACATGTAGCGTAAGTTCAAACCCGTGCGCTCGTGCAACCAGCCAATTTGAAGAGAAAAATGAAAGTAAAGAAAACCCCCACGAGGAGTAATAAAAATTCTAATCCGCGAGAAGAAAAGAACAAAATTGCGAGGCAATTCGGCCGACTTCAGAATGGCCCTTGAATATCGTCTGATGGCCGTCGCAAGAGTGAGAAAAGGAGCCACGGCAGTAAGCACAACCAATTCTAGAGCAACGCTGAGAACACGCTTGAGAAAGGCACCGGTTAAGGAAGCTTAAGCGGGGGAAAAGAAGGAAAGACAAGGGAGATATGGAAACAAATCAACAGACAAGGTGTCTGAAAGGATGAAGAAGACAGAGAAGAATCCCGCTAGCAAAATAAGAGCCAGGAGAAAAAGAGCCCGTAGGCCGAATCTTAAATCACGAATCTGGCTTCAACTTCTGATAAGCAGCGCAAGTGTCGCGACAAGGAAGAAGAGTGCTGCGCCGCACAGTAGACGAATCCTGCCGGCACTATGTTTAGCAGCGGGAACAGCGGCGCGCGCACAGTGCGAACAGGCCACGCATGACGGCGGTGGGCCTGCCCCGTACAGGGGCTGAGCCCATTTGGTACTAAGGCTGTTCTTTAAATAACATCGTCTGCCATCCATCGGCGCCCTGCTCCATGAGTCTGAATAATACGCTGACTAGCCCTTCTAGCAACATGGAAAGCAACAGTTTCGCCCACCGCAAACCCACCAACTAAATAATTGAACCGCATTCCTCCTTACCTAACCTTCTGACCGGCAGAACTGGCTCTGCATCCAGCCTGAGCCCCCCACCGCCTCCTCCCGCCTCGGTCCCCGCCTCTTGCTGTCTTCCCCGGTTCCTCGCTTTCTTGGGAATGGAAACAGGAGCATGCGTCGAGTGGTCGTGACTGGGCTTGGGGCCGTTACGCCTCTGGGGGTAGGCATCCGGCGAACTTGGACCCGACTGCTCGCTGGCGACTCTGGTCTTGTCAGTGTCCGGGGTCTAAACCCTGCTGATCAATGGCGGGAGCAGACCAGCACTGTGGCAGGGCTTATTCCTTCAGGTCCCCGACAGGATGACTGCTGGGACCCCACAGATTGGCTGAGAACTTCGGACCAGCGTCGCATGTCAAAGTTTACCCAGTACGCCGTCGCTGCAAGCGACATGGCCCTGGCTGACGCCGCACTGCTGCATGAAGCCTCAGCTGAGGACCGTGAGGCTACCGGTGTCTGTCTGGGGAGCGGGATAGGCAATTTAGAGGACATGTACAACACAAGCGTCGCTCATCATGATGGGGTAGGTAACTCAATACAACCAATTTCCAAAACACATGGATTCAGGAGCAAAAGGAGATGAACTCGACTCCACCCTTTTCCTTCTGAACAGGCGACAACCAAAGCAACGCCGTCCAAGCCGAAAATCCCATCGTTATGCTACCACTCTGGTCCACTAGATATCTAACATGGTTTGTAGGGCTACAGGAAGGTCTCGCCGTTGTTTGTGCCCAAACTACTCATCAACATGGCAGCGGGCCACATTGCCATGCAACATGGGTTCCGGGGCCCAAACCACGCCGCCACCACGGCCTGCACCACCGGCGCTCACTCCATAGGCGATGCATCTCGGTTCATTGCTTTAGGTGACGCTGATATTATGGTGGCTGGCGGTTCGGAATCCTGCATTCACCCACTCACTTTTGCAGGATTTGGCAGGGCCCGTTCCCTCTCTACTACTTTCAACGAAACCCCACAGGCGAGCTGCCGGCCATTCGATGCCCAGCGTGATGGATTCGTAATTGCTGAAGGTGCCGCAGTCTGCGTACTGGAAGAGCTGGAGCATGCAAGAGCAAGAGGAGCGCGCATCTATGCTGAGGTCAAAGGATATGGATGCAGCGGTGATGCTTACCACATGACAGCGCCACGTGAGGATGGGAGCGGAGCGTATATTGCCATGAAACGGGCCTTAAAGAATGCAAAACTTAAACCCTCCGATATCGACTATATCAACGCACATGCAACTGCCACCCAGGTTGGAGACGTAGCCGAAGCTGCTGCCATCCGTCAGTTGATGCTTGGCGAGGACGGTGTCTCGTCCGAATCACAAGTCACCGTGAGCAGCACGAAAGGCGCCATGGGCCACCTCCTGGGTGCTGCTGGCGCTATCGAAGCACTCTTTGCCATACTTTCTATTCACGAGGTAAATTCTATCCCATTGGCGTTTCTGATCCATGAACTAAGTGCTCTCTAACACTAACGCAGGGTGCTGTACCACCAACTTTAAACCTGGAGAACCCTAATGTAGGCTTCGACTTCAATTTTGTACCTTTAGAAGCACAGGATAAAAAGGTCCAGGTTGCATTAACAAATAGCTTTGGTTTTGGAGGCACCAATAGCACCCTGGTGTTTTCCAAGCTTTCATAGCCTCCGGGAGGCTCGACTACCTAGTGTAAATGCGTGCCACCATCTACGTACTGTACTATATTACACCTACAAAACGGACCATGTATAACATGTCATTCAATCAACTCAACTAGCATAGAAATTTGACGGGTTATTATATGCATATCTAACTCAATTGACCTCTCTGACTTATTTTAAACCCGAAAATGGTGTGAAATAACTGCTGTTCGCGACATTCCACACTATTGAAAGTCCATGACACTCAGACCCGAAGCCGACAATTTGCCGACCGCCTGATCGCCTATCACACATCTAGAATTTCTTCACTACGGACGGCCGGTATCCATTGCACGAGCGCCATTCCCCCGCCTTCTCCTCTACGAGCTGCTTCAGATATTCGAATTCTCGAAATTGGTACGGCCCCTCATCAACTCTGCACAATGGCATGCGAAACGTGCCGCTCCCAAGCCCGGACCCTCCTCCGGGCTGCAACCCGGAGAACTCCTTCGACGACAAAGCGATATGCCTCCAGCGTCGGCCCAGCTGCTGCCGCCAGAAATACCTCCATTGGCAGCCAGTACCCATCCAGGGAGCTGCAGTACCGAACCTTCAGCCAGACAGCCCCGGCCAGCGTGATGCCCAAGTTCAGCGCCGCAACGAGCGGCCCGTACTTCGTCGTCGGAGCGACGGAACGGCTCTACAAAGTCTGCGGCGAGGCCGCCAACTACCACATCACCGAGGAGGAACGCAACAGCGACAGGGTCGTCAGGTTAGACGACGGCGAGGAGGTCGGGACATCCATTGCCGCCACCAATGTCTGGCACAAGAGTAATTTGCTCCCCAACCCCTCCATCCAAGCTCGAAGAAAGAAAGAAGAGGAAAAAACTAACGCTAGAGACCAGAGTTCAAGCTCCGCCCAACCTTCAGCACATGGTCGCACGTCACCATGCTGCACCTCTACCTCCTCAACGCGCGCGTGCGCTGCTTCGAGCGCGACGTCTACCGGCGCTGGCAGCAGCAGCTCATCGACCACTTCTTCTTCGAGGCCGAGAAGAAGATGCACGTCGACCACCACATCACCTCGTCCGCCCTGCGCCAGCGCTACCTCAAGGACATCTTCGTCCAGTGGCGCGGGCTCCTCCTCGCCTACGACGAGGGGCTCATCAAGGGCGACGCCATCCTCGCCAGCGCCGTCTGGAGGAACCTGTTCAAGGGCGACCCGGACGCCGACCCACGGGCCCTCGCCGCCATCGTCGGGTGGATGCGGGCCAGCCTCAAGGCCCTCGAGGCCACCTCGGACTACACGTTCCCCAACAGGGCGGGCGAGGTTCTGTCGGTACCCGTCGAGAGCTTCTGGAGCACGCTGGAGAAGGGGTTCAACGGGAAGCCGCAGGAGGCATTGAAAGGGACGAAAACCGTGCCAGAAGCTACCGCACAGGTATGATCATGACGAGCTAATAAGCCCAACCGATGGGAGAAGCCGGCGGGTTCAAATTGTATACATAATGTACCATACAAAAAACACTCTTAGACGGGAAAGGGGGGATCATGGCGTAGCCGGTCATTGCATGTGTAGATTCATATATATCTAACTTGCTCCTTCTTGGCAAGTCCGCCGTTAATCTGGCGGGTGTACTTATGTATATATGTAAATCTTCACCTTTAGTATTCTTTTCCTATATTCTCTAGAATCTCGGATCCTGGGATCTTCTCCCACATCTGGAACTCATACCTGATCCCAGCCTCCTCCTGCCAGCCCTCCTCCACCTGCTCGCCAGTCCACCCCTCCAGCTCCCCGCGATCCCTCCGCCGCCAGCCCAGGGCGCCGCCGCATGTCAGATGCAGCGGGAAGTGAGTGTCGCACCCGAACTCGCGGTCGATGC